AGGGGAAGGGGGAAGGATGCTGATTCTATATCTGTGTCAATATCACACTTCCTGTTCAAAGGTATTTCCAAAGGGAGTGGTACCATTGTGTTGCACGGCAATTGGTTAAATAATTACAGGAACGATCTATAAATAACAACAATATAAAAGTAAAAAAAAAAAGGGGGGGGAAGCATTTCTGGAATCAACTGGCGGGGGGAAGAAGGTTAATAAAGAGCTCTAACACCCTCTGAAGACTCCTACATTCATGCTATAGAACTCTGTTCTTTTCATATCCTCATACCAGGGCCAAACACTAGCACAGGGGACAAAGTAGAGTTCCTTAAGGAAGTGCTGAGCCCTGACCGGTTTGCTCAGTGGTTAGAGCATCGGCCGGAGGACTGAAGGGTCTCGGGTTCGATTCCAGGTCAAGGGCGCATACCTGGGTTGCAGGTTCAATCCCAGGCCCCAGGTGGTGCCCACGCGGGAGGCAACCAATCGATGTGTCTCTTTCACATGGATATTTCTTTCACATGGATATTTCTCTCTCTCCCCTCTCCCTCCCCTCCACTCTCTCTGAAAAGCAATGGAAAAAATATTCTCGGTGAAGATTAACAAAAATAAAAACTAAAAAGAAAGTACTGGACAACACTGGTCAAACTCCCCCTTTCCTTAGGGTACCCGCTTTTTTTAATCAGATTGTCCTCCTGACACCTTACACTAAGGTATAGATAGCCAGGCAGCAATCCCTTCTTCGCCAAACCCGCCCATTTGCTCCTTCATTCAAAAAACCTCTAATAAGTAGAATTTAAAGCAGATAGTTGACTAACAGCTTGGTTTGGGGAAGAAAGTGGAAGATCCACTCTAAGTAAAATTGCAAAACAAAGTTTGTCACTGGCCTTCACCCACCTCTTCTTCATCTCTTTCCAGTCCTGTGTTGCCTTCTCTCCTCTGCTTCTAGGGGCTCAGTGTTTGGATACTGACACAGGGGGGTGAGCTGTCCTCCCCAAAAGAGACCCATCTTCCAAAACAGTCCCTCCCCTCTCCCTCACCAATCAAAACCTGACTTACTTCAGTGAGAGCACCAGCAGCTTCAGAAGATATGTTCTAAAGGGCTGGGAAACAGTGTTTACATGTGACCACAAGGACGGCTGAGGCCGAAGAGAAGGGTGAGATCATCCCTTATCCTTACTTCTTTCCCCCAGGAGGTCAAAAACTAGATGAAATTGGGAGAAGCTTCCCAATTCTATATTGGATCTTGCAGGGCTCCCCTGGGACTGAAAAGAACTTCACAGGTTCCCAGTGCTGCCCCTGATCTTCAACCCCACCTCCCCCAGCCCTCACACACCCCTTATAGACCTGTCTGCTGCTTTTGGAGCTTCCCCTCCTCCAGGACCCCCGTCGTTCATCCTGGAAGCATTTAGCTATTTGAGAAATTACAGAAGGAACATTTTTGCCACTAAGTACCTCGATCATCTTAATAAATATTTGCATCTTGAAAGAACTTAAATCTCTAATGGAGTAAAATGTGTGACATTTGTTTTGCAGCCACAAATCCCCTGCATCCTTTCCCTGGCCTGTAAAGGTGGACGGTTCAACCATCTGCAGCTTCAGCAAGAGAGTCACAGATCTGAACAGCAGGCACGTGGGAAAGACTCCCCTCATGCCGCCAGTTGCCCCCACGTTGGATTAGCTCACTGGATCTGAACTTGGTTTCCATTAAAGTGTCAATTTAAAACTACTTGGGTTTGGCTTAGGAGTTCAGCAGATTTGTGTGGTTTGGCACACTCAGATCAGGTCCCCGATAGATGTCTGTCCCTATTTTCAGGGAGGGTGTTTCTGTGCGGGAATGGAGGGTGGTGTGGAACCCAGGCAAAGCCACCCCTGTCTCAATTGGGAGGCACTTCCGGCTGCCCCACCTTGAGCCTTCTGGTCACTTGACCAAGTAAGTCTGACCAGTAGGCAAAGTGGGAAGATGGTCTTCTGCAGGAGGTACGAGCACTGTTCTCTAATGGTAACAGGCGCAGTTAGGCCTTTAGAAAAGAAACGATCAATGTTAAACTTACAAGTAGGGCTGCTGTGTCCTCACAAGCTGGGGACGTGGGTGGCATCTTCCCCTTTTCCTGAATTGCAGGCTTTACAAATATAACATAGGGCTTGAACTCTGAGGTCCTCAGCTGTCTCAGTGCCTGAGGGAAAAAGTTCAGGAATATTATATACTTTGAAAATATTTTACTGTGAAACAGACTTTTCGAATGCTCAATAATGGCATGCTTCATCAAGTGACCTCGATGGTAAAGGTTCTGATTGCCTGGTCATCTGACAATGAACTTCAACTGGGGAGACCAACCGCTCATTTTCCTGCTCTCCACTTTGACTCTGGGCTCAGCTGGGCCCTGAAGGCCTACTCACCGAGAAGGGAGGTTCCATAGCCTCCGCTCCAACAGTTGCCATCTCTCTTGGCTCTGACCCCACGAGCTCTAATTAACCTTCTGATGCCCTTCTCTACTTGCCCAGTCCTGATGGATGAGCCAGCAGGATTCGATGTGTATCTATTTAGTCACCAATTTGGACTACACTAATGCAGAGTGCATGCCATCGCACAAGCCTCCTCATGATATTCAAAGAACAAAAGGTTTGCAAAGCAAATGAAGAGACCAAGAACTCGAAACAAACTGTACAGGCTTTAGGAGGTTTTCACTATGCAAATCGTCCTGTTAGTGGCATTTTATCTTAAGGGCCTCTATTTGGAAACACTGGTATTAAACTCCTATGTGGACAATCTGCAGCCAAAACAATAAAATCACTTTCCAAATAAAATCTTGACATTTACACTTTTAATTTTGACTACCAACTTCCAGTAAGTCCAAATTACTGAGGGTTTTCCTTATATATATAATGTGCTTTTTGGAATCTGTTTCAAGCAAACTTCTATGAAATAAAGCTTATAGCTTATATCATAAAATTAGAGTTCTTTTCTATAGAGGAGTAAAAAATCCCCAAGCTGAAGTCAAAGCTTAGAAGTGTTTCTCAAAGACAAAGTTAAAAAGATGGGTAAGCCCCTGCCGAGTACACAGTTTTTGAAGCACTTCACAGGGTCATGTCTCCTTCCCTTTTCCCCTTTCAAACTACTCTCCTGACTGCCTCCCTCAGTGGTTCCTAAGCCACTGATTTCACTTGTCCTGATCAAGGAGGAGGTGCCCTGACACCACTGAGCCCCATCTTCCACCTGGGCACTGACATCTAATTCCCTGTCCCATCAGAATTGGCCAGTCAGTGCCACCACCAACTTGCATGACTTACTCCACGCAGAGATTCCATCCTGGGTCTCTGGCTGCCAAGAGGGTCCATGAGCTCCCTACAATTTTAATGCAGTTTTTGTGTACAGAGGTGCATATTTTGGCGTGCAAAGCTTTCATTAGATTCTCAAAGAGAGACCCCAGGAAATTTCAGTATCCAGTGCTCTACACTAAAAATTCCTTAGACTGAGGTTCAAATATTCTGTAAAATGTACAATCCCCTAGTTTATAAATTCCATTAACAAAACAACTGGCCCAGGAACTCACATCTGGCTCCACGTCCACCAAGCAAACTTTGTTTTTGGCCATCACAGCCTGAATGGCGTCCAAGCTGGTTCCATAGAGATATTCCTTATATTCACCATGCTCCAGGAACCTAAAACAACACCGAAGGAGAAAAGGCCTTTAGTTCCTGAGCTTGCCTGAATTAGCAAGGAATACAAGCGGACTTCCCACCATGACTTCTCTCCCACCCCTCTGCCTTTCCTGGAAGCCCTCCCAGGGGGTCCAGTGGAACACTGGACAGTTGCAAAGAGCCACAACTGCACACGAACCTGTTGTGATGTATGTCGGCTTCAAATGCTTGCTTCGAGACAAAGTGATATTCCACCCCCTCCTTCTCATGGCTCTTTCGGGGCCTCGTGGTATCTTTTAAAGAAAGAACAAGAAGAACCAGGCAAAGAGATGTCATATCACGGTGAGGACAGCAGCCCTTATTCAGAGCTCACTGCTGATCTGTATATAAACTGTCTTCCATTCATCCCATGTTCCTGTGTCAGGCACAGTGCCCTTTCCAGGCACATCACTGATTCACACAACTCTCTGACGCAGGCAAAAGGAGGCCTCCCACTGTGCAGGGGAAGAAACTGAGGAGTGCAGAGAGGTGACACGGTGCCAATGACCCAGACCGGCAGGTAGCAGAGCCAAGGTCTGAACTTTCTGTTTCGTGCCAAGCGTCTGCCCTTACCACCCTGCCAGCCTGCCTCATTGATGCTGTGGCTTTTAAAGATCACTGAGGAGAGTCCCAATCCTAAACATTCATTAGTCCCTAGCCCTAATTGCTTTTTAAGAGCAGAGGCCACAGACACAGATGACCCTGCTGAATGCTTTTAATTCTTTATTCAATTATATCTCATTTTGAGAGAGAAGGAGACATGAAGACAGTCCCTTTATGGATGAGATGTGCTTCAGCAGAGCTGGCTCTCACATGATTTTACAGCACAGAGTGTTTTCTGATGGATTTCCATAATAGCAGTGAAATGATGTTCCCCGAGAACACTCCTGGGGAGAACCAGGTCCTCCGCGGAACAAGCGCACACGCGGAGCAACACGCCGCTTCCCCCAGAGCGTCCCAAAAGGAAAGACGGGGTCTGGGAGGACAGCGTTTTCTGCCCTTGGGGGCCATGCAGGGACATGCTCTGTATTCTTCATGCGGCATCTTTGGCCAAACTCTGGCAGAGCCGCTCAGGTCACTTTTCTGACCATGTTATTTCCTTGCTCTAAAACTTTTATTCACCCACTGATTACATTCTAAAGGCCTCAGATGAGTGTATGACACCCTCGTGATCTGCCCAGCCTCCAACTCCGCTTCATTTCCTCCACACCAGCTTCCCCAGTCCCTAACACTGCTGTGCCAGTCACACCTTCATCCCTGTGCACGTGTTGCTCCTTCCTTTCCTCTCTGCCTAGAAAACTCCTATTTACCCTTCAAAACCCAGCAAAAAGGTCACTGCCTCTGGGAAGCCTTCACTGACATCCCAAGTTCCTAAATGCAGGGGGGAAAGTCACCTATCTGTGTGGTACCTGGAAGCAGGTAGGACTGACCATCCAGGTACCCTTCCCCCAAGGGACTGACCTGAGGGTTTGAAAGGGTCAATGTGTGAGCAAATTCCACATGCCCTGTTTCAGTCCATCCTCTCAGCCTGAAAGGCCATGGCCCCCTGAAATCTGCCAGGCCCAGGTGTGTTACCCGAATGGCATCCCCATCCTTGTCATTTTGGGTTGGGCTCCGGAAGACAATTCTGACAACCCACAGACTGGGCTATGGGCCCCAAGGCCCAAGGGAGTGGCTTTGTAGCTGTCCTTCCTCAGAACCTTCTGGAAAGGTCCCATTACTGCCACCACAGCATTCCTTCTAGGAGGCCACCAGGTGCCCACACTGTATCCCACTGAGGCCAGACGGACGGACAGAGAGTCCCACAGAAAGGAAAGGGACAGCCAGGAAGAGGCAGGCTGTCATGAAGCCTGGGTAAGAATGTGACTGGGGCAGGCTGCCTGGATTTGAATCTTGGCTCCACCACTTACCAACTGTGTGACATTGGGCAAGTTACTTAACCGCTCTGAGCCTCAGCGTCTTCCCCTGCATGTGGAATGATAACCCGTCTTCTCAGTGGCACTGGGAAGGCTGGCCAAGTAACTCACAGGAGAGCTCCTGGTATGGCTCCTAGCACTCTTCTTTCTCCTGTTCCTCACCACATTCAGAACGAGGACCTCCTGCCTGCTGGATTTCAGCATCCGTGGCTGCCTCTAGACTCAGGAGGCACCCCGACGGCCCAGATCCAGCTACAGGGGAGAACCCAGGCAATACTGCTCACCAGGCTCTCTGGCTTCCCCGCCCTTGCTCTCTTACCCAAGCAGACAGCAGGGGCCAGAGGAGTCAGAGCCATTTGGAAGAGGCGGCAGGAGTGTCCCCATTACTGGGGGCCCCTTGGTGTTGGTTTAAGGTTGCTACTTTGCCTGCAGTGTGCTTTAGACTCACCTGCCATCCCAGGCAGGAACCGGGCAAGTGTCCTCCAGCGTCTGCCTCAGAGGGTCCTAGTGGACCACTGAGAGTGGGTCTCTCCCATCATGTCTAGGTCCGTGACCTGCCTATGGCAGGCAGTGCTTGCCAGTCACTCAGACCCAAAGTAAGAATCAGGATGGATATGGGGAGTCAAGGCCCCATGAAATATTCACGTGTAGACACACACCCCTCCCCCGACACACCCACGTGGGCCCTCTTACGTGGGACAGCAACACCAAAGTGCTGTGGGTTCTCTGCCACCACCTTCTGCTTCAGCTCGTGCAGTCGGGCTCCCAGAGACCCTGGGAAATGAAGGGAAGGCTGACCAGGGACCCTGCGGGGCTCCCTCCCCACTCCTCCACGGAGGAAGCCAGCCCACTCCCTGGAGACACAGTACATCACCTACCGATCAGCACCACCAGGCGGGGCAGCTTACTGGGCTGGTGCTGGTACCTGGTCACTTCTTCATAGGTCAGCAGTTCGGGGGACTCGGCTACTGCGGACATCTTTCCTTCCTGCGGGCTTCCCAGTCTCTCCCTGCGGCCCAGCCGGAAGCTCCTCCGAAGACCAGCTTTGGGGAAAGGGCAAGGAGCACCATGACATTTGTCCCAGGGTCTCCCACTAAAGACTTTTTCTACCTGGCCCAACTGGAGGTGAGACTGAACCCCACTGGCCTCTCCCGAACTCCTCCTGCTGTAGGAAGGGGTTGATCAAGACACAGTAATATGATGAAAGGGTGACCACCTGGCATTCAAAAACAGGGTTCAAGGTCACTGTTTTACTTGGCATATGACTGACCTCTCTGAGCTTCAATTTCCTTGTCTGTGAAGTGGAAACATAAATATAGAAATGCAATATGTGGACCGGATCCTGGATCAAGGGAAAATGCTCTAAAGGGTATTGTTGGGACAACTGGCAACATTTTACTATAATCTGTATGTTAGATAATAGAATTGTATACATGTTAAATTCCCAGAATTCCATAATTGCCCTGGGTTATATAAGAGAATGTCCTTGTCCTTAGGGAATACATGCTGAGTATTTAAGGGTGAAGGGACATGATATCTGCAACTAACTCTCACATGACTCAGGAAAAAAATGTATATATGTAGAAAACGGAAATGATACAGCAAACATGGCAAAGAACAACTGGTGAATCTGGGTGCCGAGTATATGGGAGTTCTTTGTACAATTCTTTCAACTTTTCAGTAAGTTTGAAATTACTTCACAATCAAAAGCTAGAAAAACTCTTTGTCTGTCTTTAGGTCTTTGAAAAGGCTGACCAAAACGAAAGTGAAGGTACTTGGGAGACTAGTAAAAGGCTCCCCTGCTGCATTATGGTGACATAACTACTGAATAAACTACAGTTGAGATCACGAGAATAACAGAGTCAGTATTAACATAAGGCCTATGTCAGGGCTCTGCTCTCAGCGTCTGGTGAACGCTGAGGTGGGGGCCCCAAGACCTGGGCAGGTCGGCCCCTCTCTGCTGACAGAGATGGAGGGGAAGCGTGGGTCCCACAGGCTCAGCTGCTCAGATCACTCTGCTTTTGTCTCTCCCTGACCCAGGAGCCCGTGGGGGGCTGTGTATGAGCGCAGAAGCGAATGCTGGGGGTAGAGCCACATGTGCTACTTACCCACATAATGCCCTTTGAGGTACCCCTCACAGTCACAGGTCTCTGGGAACCAAACAGAGAAAGAGGCCAGTGAGCCATTCTGGGCACAGACCCCAGCCCAGAGGTACCCATCCCCTGGATGGCCAGGAAGAGCCCCCTGGGATGGTGTCTCGGTGGCTCAGGAGAAATCCCATGTCCTGGACACCCCAGAAAAACAAGTTATTCTGTTTAACTCAGTTCTCCATGCTTAGGCCCCAAACAGCCTTTCCAGGCCCTAGCAGGGGTTTTGGGCCAGCAGGCCCCATCCCGGTCCTTCTGAGTCAGGAGGGGAAATTCACTAGCCTTGCCCCCTCCTGTCTCTGGCTTCCTACCCAGCCCAGCCACAGTCAGCCCAGCCAGAGTCCTGGGAAGGCTGAGCCCTGCATGCCAGGCAGGCAGGGAGGGGTCCCGTGCCCACCAGCTCTGCAGCCTCAAGGAGTAGGCTGGACAAGCTGGCAGAGCAGAGAGAGGTGTGCAAAGAGTAGAAGGGCACAGCCACCCCAGATTGAGGCGGGGGTAGGGGAGGAACAAGCCCCTCCAGCCCATTCCACAGAAAAGGGGCCTTGTCTGTGCACGCAGGGGACAAATACCAGGCCTACCTTTGTCACAAGGCTGATCATCTGCGGTTTGCACAAAAGACAGATGGAACAGCGTTAGTGAAGGGGAACCAGGAGCCCCTGTGGCTGAGAGGCAGCCATGGCCTCGTGTGCCTGAGGAGACCCTCCATCTGTCCCGTCTTTCTCTCCCCCAGCAAACCTGTGATCTGAGCTGTGGTGCATTATTAAACCAGGACCTGCTCTAATTAGTCTTCCTGTGTGTGTCTCATTAGCAGCCCAAAGAAAGCCAACTCATCGCTGGCGTAAGCAGCCTCAGGGCCAATTTATTCAGCAGCCCTTCTGACTGAGAGCACGTCTAGAAGAGTGGCCGTGGGCAGTGGCCACCATGCCAGGGGAGCAGCTTCCTCTAGGATGCCTGCAGTGGGAAGGCTTCCTCTCCATACCCTAACTGGGGCCTCTGATCACAGGCCCTCTGAAAACGTGACCCCGGTCCCATTCCCTTGACCTCATGAACCTCCGTTTTCCCATCTTGGAAAAGGAGATGCCCTGATCCCACTGCTTCATGGGGCTGTTGTGACAATTACAGGGCAAGAAGGTAGGTGGATGTGTTTTCTAAAAGGTAAAGTGCTACACAGAGTAGAGTTGGCAGATAAAATACAAAACTGTTAAATTTGAATTTCAGAAAAACAAGGAATCTGTGTTTAGTTTAAGTATAGCCCATGCAATATTTGGGACAAATGTATTTATACTAAGAAACTATTTGTTGTTTATATGAAATTCAAATTTAATTGAGCATCCTCTATTTTTATTTGCCAAATTTGACACCTAACAGGAGCACAGGATCACTCATAGCCTTCTCCATTCCCTCCCAAAATCAGAGGCTCCTAAATTGACGGGATCAGAGTACCCCTTGGGAATCTAATGAAAGCTGTGGACCTTCTCCCAGAGATAGGCAAACAGACTGAGAGACAGACACACACACACACACACACACACACACACACACACACACACGTTTGCACACAATTTTGGGAGAGGTGTTAATATGCCCCCTAGTGTCATCTATGAGCCCCAACTACAGAAGCTCCTCTCCAGGGACTAGCTCCCCCCAACCTAACCCCCATTTCCCCTCCTCGTCCCTCTCCCCACCCCTTCCTTCCTCTGTAGGCCTGGATGATCAGAGAGGTCCCTTGGTGCTCCGTCCAGCCCAGTATCTGCTTCTTCCTGGCACAAAGCCCCCAAGTCCTAAGCCCAGTCCCTCCCTGAAGTATCACCCCTGCCAGTCTACTCACAGGGAGGCTTCTTGAGGCTCTGGGGGCTCGGCAGGGTGCCCGTGGCTCTCCGGTAGCTTAGGCGCCTATGGACAAGGAGACAGACAAGCCCATGAGCTGGGCCATGGAACCAGTCACAGGAAGTCTCTTACAAAGCTTGGAGAAACTGAGGCTGCACCCTATAGGTGGGCAGAGCCTGGCACTCCAAGGGTGTCCTACTTCACACTGAGTTCCAGTGGGGAGGGACACTTACAGGTGCTCACTGGTTCACAGGGGAAAGAAACAGTCTCGCCCTGGAAGAAGCTCACCCAGCCCAAGATGGTCACCCACAGGGACCCAGCCCAGTCCCACGGTCAGCAGTTAGTTGCTACTTTCCTACGAATGACTCTCAAGGAAGGGAGGCCCCTTCTCCTTTCACCTGGCCTTCCCATCCCTGAGGAAGCTGGAAAATAGCAGGACTCTCAGTAGAGGCTGAGGGTGAAAGTGAGCCTGATTTAAAACCTCTCTCCCAACAGAGGCCTCAGCCTGACACTTTATCCAATATGGTTGTTAGTGGAGAGGTAGCTGTCAAGGCCCCATCTCTGACCCACGAAAATGCCCAGGGCTCTCGGAGGTGTTGAGATTTCCACATTTAAATGAAGCTAAAGAGCATTCCCCCCAAGCCCTGTGAAACCAAAGATGCAAATGGGTCTGAGGCTCCCCTGAGGAAAGAGAACAGTGGTGCTCAAGCTGTAGCACCTCAGAATGACCTGGAACATCTGTGAGAACACAGAGCTCAGAGTCCACCCTGGAGATTCTGATTTGGCAGGGCCCCAAAGCCTGTGTTTATCACAGATTCTCAGGGGATGCTGCCACCCCTGGCCTAGGGACCGCACCATGAGGGACACTGAAACTGATGAATGAGGCCTGTCATGATTGTCCTCTGCGCCCCAAAAGGTGAAAAAGGGTTTTAAACCTCAGGGGAGGCGATGCAGTCTTAACTGCCAGCTCCTCTGACCCAGAATTTACATGTCTGGAAATCTATCCTAAGGAAATAATTTGAAATACGAGGAGCAGTCTATGGGCAAGATACTAATTGCAGCCTTGTAGCAGTGAAAAGCTGGAGAAGACTGAAAAGTAGGGAAGGAGCAGCTTTCTGGCTAAACTGTAAGCTCCTCCAGGGCAGAAACCAGGGGTTCACAACAGCCCACAGGATGCCTGGCACAGGCCAGCTCCGTTCATAATAAATACATTCATGCTGCCTATGAATAAATGGTGTAGCTCCTGATGAAATATTACACAGCCACTAAAATCACACAATAACTAAGAGGTAATATGTGGCAAATGCTGGTGTCAAAATGTATAGTAAAAAAAAAAAAAGCAAGATCTCAGATTCTACATGCAACACTCACGTAAAAAGTACAGGAAAGAAATAAATTAGGCTCTTCAGATAATGGTGAGACTTTGGGTAATTTTCTTTTCCTTGTCCTCCTCTTCTGTATTTTTACATTTCATTTGTCAACTTTCTCTAAGTCTGTGTTATATGATATACATTAATTTAATAACATAGATTTCCATATATTTCTTTAAATCACATCAGTCATCGCCACTGGTTATGGGTCAAGAAGAACAAACACAAGTACAATTGGTACTTACCTCTAGCTGTGGTGGCAGAGATCTGGGGGCTGCCACTCTAGAATACCCCCTTATAACACACCCCAGACCCACCTTTCCTGGAACTGCTTGGAGGGAATGAGGCCAGCTCGAAGGTTGGTGTCCCCCACTCGCTTGGCCTGCCACCACGTGGGGTCATCCTGGCTCACCACCTCCAGGACCTGCCTGCGCTGGAAGGGCAGGCCTGCCTCCTGGCAGGGAATGGCCCGGTCCTCCCGCGGGTTGTAGTGGAAGAGGGCCCGCATGAACACCTGCAGAGGACAGGCTCCGGTGAGGGGTGGGGACCCTTCATCATGGAGACATAGACGTGTCTATGCCATGGCAAAGCCAAATCGNACAGGCTCCAGTGAGGGGAGGGGACCCTTCATCGTGGAGACATAGACGTGTCTATGCCATGTCAAAGCCAAATCTCAACTACTGTTCACAATCGGGATGAATAAGCGGCCTCGAGAATAGAAAGTTAATCAGAAACATACCACACAGATTTTCTTATTGTTCTTCCACCACGTGGATATGACAGCCAGGAAATCCCTCAAGAATCAAAATTAATAGATGGGCCCCGTGTCTGAATTTCTTCTTCTAGCCTAAACGTTTCTTTAGTTACCTGATCTGCTTTCCTTAGCATACACAATGCAACAATTAGTCCTGGGAACAAAAAGTAAAGGCAAGCACAGTCTGTAACTCAAATGTGATTTTTGATATGCTAACTGCCCCTAATGAAGTCAGCAGCCATCTGCTAAATAAGTAATCTAGATGTTTTGGTAAGGACACAAATATCAATAAAACTACTCTTACTGATTCCTCGCCATCATTTTTCAGTGGGTACTTGGCACCCACATTTTAAAATATACATATATCTTTATTGATTTCAGAGAGAGGAAGGAAGAGGGAGAGAGAGAGAGAAACATCAATGATGAGAGAGTCATTTTCGGCTGCCTCCTGCACGCCCCTGACTGGGGATTGAGCCCGCAACCCAGACATGTGCCCTGATCAGGAATCGAACCGCGATCTCCTGGATCGTAGGTTGATGCTCAACTGCTGAGCCATGCCCAGCCGGGCGACATCCACATTTTTTACAGTTCAATCCTGACTCACCTGTCACATACTTGGCAAACCCCCAACTCTCCCCTTTACCCTGAAGTCACACCCTCTAAAGAAGACAGTGAGAAGACACAGAATTTTGTCACACTTCCTTGTTCTCTGCTGTAATTCAATAGCATGGATTTATGTATTTCTATTTGGGTCCAATTACTTTAACAGCAACTAGACCAAAAAAAGGCCAGACGGCTTCTTTAGACCAGTGATTTTCAACCATTTTTATCTCCTAGGACACATAAACTAATTACTAAAATTCTGTAGCATACCAAAATATATATTATTTTTTGCCGATCTGACAAAAAAATAAGTATAATTTTGATTCATTCACACTGGATGACTATTGTTGTGTTGGCTGTTGTCAGTTTTTTATTTGACAATCTAAGGGAAAAGAGGTCAGTGCCCCTGACTAAATAGTCAGGTACTACATGTTTTAAAAATTCTTGCAGCACAGCAGTTGAAAATCGCTGCCTTAAACAGATCAAAATCATATTCCCTTATGTGTCCACAAGAAAGATTCAGTTAGACAACAGTAAGAACTTTCTGGCCACAAATGTGGCCAGATACCCTCATGAAGCCACATGAAGTCACAGATGTTACCAGGGCCCCAGGTACTCAGAAGATAGTATAATTTTAAATGGTCAAGCTTCTGCTCAAGAAGAAATATTTAGGAAGGACGGGCTAAGGGACAGGGACAGAAAAACCAAGTTCTCTCCCTATATCAAGTTAAAACCTTCAGCAGCTGCATATGGGGGCCACATTATTGTCCCAGGAAGAACCACTTCCATCAGGTTAAGAGTTCATGGTATGTATGCCCTGGGATTCGATGGAAGAGGGCAAATAAGAAACAAGCCACAAAAATATTATTTCTTCATTTGCTTAAAAACACACACAGCCTGACATCAAAGACACTGTCCATTCTTAATCCCCACTCAACAAAATATCTATTCTGTGCCAGGTGCTGGAATGTCCCCTCTTTCTTGCACTTAGTACTGAAAGGAAGGGGGTGGGAATCAGCTTTCTTGAAAAACTGGCATGCTCCCTTCTACCTAATGATGAAAAGTATGTAATTTATGTTCTCCTTTCTGCCTTGGATGCCAGAGAAGTTCAGATCCAAATTTATTTGAAGTCAAATAATGCCCTCTTCTGTCCTCTCTACCACCACCTCAGCTCGGGTCTTAGCAACCTCTCAACGGGTTTTTACAACAGCCTCCAACCAGGTCTCCCCGCCTCCATCTCCACCTCCCCACCCTCCTCCATGTGGCTACCCTCGGCAGCTTTCTAAAACACAAAATGGGGTTGCATCACTCCCCTCTAAAAAGAAAAGAAAAAGTCTCAAGGTCATTCAGAACACAGCCCTAACCCACCTCCCCCACCCCAGGGATCTTTCTCACCGAGCCCCAAACACACTCCTTTCCGTCGCTCTGAGCCCGCTGCCTGAACCTCCTTCACCTCTTCTTCCCCAGGGACCTACTCAGCTTCACCGTCCTCCAGCCTCCCTTCCTCATGCCTCCTAGGGGACACCGTCCAGGGCACCTGGAACCCTGTACCCAATCTTTCCACAGCACTTATCACACAGCAATAAAAGACTTGCTCCCCGGCCTCTCCTTCTGAACTAGGAACCCTCAAAGTTCCTAGTCGACCCCGTCGCCAGCATCTGGCAGAACACCTGGCACAGCGAAGGTGCCACGCAAAGGTAAGCTCCACAAGGAATTAAACAAATGGCAGTTACTTAATTGGTCCCAAAGCCAGCACATTTGGTACCTTCTCCTCTTTATGGCCCCGATTTTCTATTTCAATTAAAATTCATTAGTAAGCTAGGTCGAATCTGGTTTTCAAAGAGGCACGGAACAAATAAATGAATCACTTTGTGACGGAACTGCAATCTATTGAGCACATGTTCCGAGGACCAGATGTACGATCTCTTCCCAAATGACCATTTCAAAGGCTGGGCTGGAGCCCTCCCCATACCTCCAGCTTCTCCCATACCCCCAGCTACACCCCCTCCCCATACCTTGCTCTCCTTTAAACGGTCCTCCTCCTGGGTGGCTGGGATGATTTTCAGGGTGATGGACCCCTGGGACTGAGCCTGAAAGGAGAGAGAGCACAGGCTAATCACCTCCCAGGTCTAACCCTCTAGGAGTTCACATCTTCCCAGGTCTGAAAGCTCACGTTCAGAGGAAAGTCAGACTCACTACCTCTCCTGTGACCCACCCTTCTATGGTGGCACCTGTTGAATTAACAAAGCAAAACTCAAAAACCAATACCTGCATTTCAGACAAATGCGAACCCGAGGACAATGCATGCACTGCATTTGAGCTCTGCACCCTCCTGCCCTCTAGTGCCCCACAGGGCTGCCCTTCTTTCCTTCCTCTTGGGTTATTTTAATAACCCAGTCCAGTTTCCTTTTCCTCCTTCCTGCCTGACTTGGGGCTTGTTCCCAATCAGTGTGTCCCTCTTTGGGTCCATCTTCCCCGACAGGCTCTCCAGTCCCAGGCTACTCCTATCTTCCCAGGGGTTCCTCTTCCCTCTGCCTGACAGAGACCCTGCATCCCCATGTAGGGGGACCGGGAGGAAGAATGCCATCAGCCCATGGGAGCACCTCTCGCCCACTGGTCTCCCTGGCCCTGCATCACCCTGGAACACAAGGAGCTCAGTGCCCAGAACTAGACAAAGGACAGTGAGATGCAAAGACTGAAGGGGCTGCCTGCAACCAGGGCCCGACAGTGGGGCCTTAAAGAGCCAGCCTCCTCTCTTCAGATCTCATCCTGTTTCTGCTCCAAAACCATCAGAAGTTAGCAAGGAGTATTCTGTCCGGGGAGGATGCTGAGGATTCAGAGGACAGAACTGATTGGGGCTCATTACAATTTCAGTTTAGACTTCAACTTCCAGAATGGGCTCCGGAGGCTGTTTGCAGCCCAGCACAGGTGTGAAGCGCTGTATCTTCTTCTAGATGTTTACATCCTAGTGATCACCACACACAGGATGAGAAACCGCCCTGCCCTTACTTCCCAGGAAAGGAAACTGAAGCGCAGAATGATCTGATGACTTGCCCAAGGTTGCACAGCCAGAAAGTGGCAGAGGCAGGATTCAAACCCAGGACTGGCTGACCCCAAAGCCCTTGCTTGGGTCCTCCCTATGCTGCAACTTCTTATTCCATATTCCTCGGCCCCAGGGTTCTCCCAGAAGGATCCTCAGGAAAGGGAGCTAGAAGTCCGGGGGATGACTGTGCTGAACAAAGATCTGCGAGAGGCACATGGACTAGAAGTTCAACTCCTCCTGTCCCCCACCCTGCACCCTGGGCACTCTGTAAGGCCACTTTGCCTGCAGCCCTCCATGAAAACAGGGAGACTGAGCCAGAGCCACCCTGGCTCCAGGAAGCCCCCTGCTTGGGTCCCTGAAGCACCACCAAACCCCCAGCATGCGTGCAGCACGGACCAGAATCTGGCTGATCTCGTCAGGCCGCTTGTGCAAGACTGTGATCCCGTTCACTTCCCGGAGCTCGTCCCCAACGTGGACCAGGCCTAGGAGACACAGGAGCGACCATCAGCACAGAAAAGGTGCTCAGAGCTCTGGGCACCGCTGGAATTGGGATGAACTGAATCCCTACTGCGTGCTGGGTGCCTCACTTGGCATCACAGCCTTGCAACCACCCGGTGGAATCTCCAGTTTACAAGTTGGCAACTGAGACTCAGAAAAATTATGCAGCTTGCCTAAGGCCACACTGCTAAGAAATACTGGAGCCGGGGTTCAAACATGGTTATTTTGACATAGAAAGATTGTGTTCTTTCTGCTGTAACTTCTGCTTCTTGAAAAATTGCATTAACTCTTCACCTTCCTGGGTTTACAGACACACTCTAAGAATGTCCTTCTCAAATCTTAACAAGAAGACTTAAGAGCACTGGGAAGGTATCATCAAGAGTATTGTTAAACACATCTGCTTGGTGGCCTCCGCTTAAATGACAAGTGTCTCTGCATTCTGGGCCCTATTTGCTACTGAAAGTGGACACTGGCCCAGCAGCATTGGCACCACCCAGGAGGCAGTTAGGGGTGCAGAAACTGGGGCCTGCCTAAGACCTGCTGAATCAGAACAGCCTTTAACAAGATGCTGGCACTGG